GTATCACAGCCTATCTTTGCAGTTATGCCCTTTTGCCTTGGGGATTTACTGAAAATTGTGTAGTTATGCCCTTTTGCCATGCCCCTATCTAGCCCGGGGACACTTTTTTACAATTTTTTTTGTGTCAACATGTGTAACATGATGTACTGACCCCACTAGGCTATATAACTCATTTTCGCCAAAAATGTCAGTTATGCCCTTTTGCCATGGGGGGGCAGTAAAGGTGTTGAAGTTGTTTCATTAAAATTACACACTAACATTGTGTATAATGTACGTAACCAAACACCTACATGTACCTATTTAGCCGCTAAGATTTTACATTTACATTATACAGTACAACAGCGAAAAGATTTGCTTTAAGCATCATGCATAAAAAAGAGTGAAACTTAAAATACCTAATTCATTATTTTTATTTTATTAAAAGCTATTACAAGAAGAAATATTTATCTCGGTTTGAAAGTAAAAACATGAATTCATTACACACAGTCAAACCATTTTATTATTTCAATCATTTTTATGAATTGGTAGCCATGAGAGGTTGTTACAAATTGTATACTTAACAGTAGTCACAGTCTGTAAGGTTCACCAAAGATTGACAAGAAATAATTAATCATCATCATATAATAATAATATTAATGATACATATTACTCAACAAACAAAAAATGATTAGGCTGCGGGGGTGAACCTTTCCTGTCATTCGACACTATTTCCACCCCTCCTCCTACACCCCTGATTCTTAATTAATTTGTTTTAAAGGGCAAACATTTATTTTAAGTTGGGCTCAAGGGCCAAAGATAATATTTGAGTACCGGTAACTAAGCAAATCGTTATAAAGTTTTTGGTAATTTCAAATTCTACTTTTTGTTTTCTTTAAGCAAAGAATACATAATTATCAACATTTTGTTCACACCCTAGTTGGTTAAAGCAATAAGAAAATGCATTCGGTATATAATAAACGTTAGAGTAACATAAACATTAAAAATATATATATAATACGCATGCTACTTTATAAAACATAAATTAACCTAATGTTCTGATAGATTAACAAATTAAATAACGTTAATTGCATAAAATATAATATTTGATGATATAGGCATGTTTGCTACCATCAACCGTAACAGATAATTTGAAATAAAAGTAGGCGTATCGTAGAAGA